TCATATTTACCGAGCGATGTGAATATTGTTCCGAGGTTTCTGTAGCAGTCTGCCTCTCCATCTCTGTCGCCAAGTTGTATTTTGATTGCAAGTGCTTTCTCCAGGCATTCTTGAGCCCTACCGTAACTGTTAAGTGTTTGGAACAATATTCCAAGGTTTGCATAGCTTCTTGCCTCTCCATTTCTGTCGCCAATTTCTATACTGATAGCGAGTGCTTTCTCTTGATATTCTTGGGCCTTGTCATATCTACCGAGCGATGTGAATACTGTTCCGAGGTTTCCGTAGCTTCTTGCCTCTCCATTTCTGTCGCCAATTTCTAAACTGATAGCGAGTGCTCTCTCTTGAAATTCTCGGGCCTTGTCATATCTACCGAGGGATGTGAGTACAGTTCCGAGGTTTTCGTAGCTTCTTGCCTCTCCATTTCTGTCGCCAATTTCTAAATTGATAGCGAGTGCTTTCTCTTGAAATTCTCGGGCCTTGTCATATTTACCGAGGGATGTGAATACACTTCCGAGGTTTTCGTAGCATTTTGCCTCTTCATCTCTGTCGCCGACTTCTATTTGGATAGTGAGAGTTTTTCCCACGTAATCTCGAGCCATGTTATATTCGCCAAGCGATCTGAAAAATTTGAAAAAACAGGTGTAATTTTTGTTCTTGTTATAAATTAGCACCGTTAGCATAATCAGCATATTTTTAATTTTTTTTTTTTTTGCGGAGGAAACATCCCCAGAGTCATGATTTGATTAGTCTCTAAGATTGACTATTTGCAAGTTTGGTCATTCGTTTAGTCAATTTTTAATTTTGCAATGTCTTGAAGGAAGAAGGATTACCCCAATACTGAGTCGTTTGTCGTCCAGAGCTAGAGGACTACGCACATTGGAAAAATGTGATATGTCAACTAGGACCTAAAGCAGCGAGCAGCGGTTTCTTCAGCAAATAGCTCCTCTTTTGTAGGTCGGTACAGAAGGTACATTATCTTAACCTGTTAAGTTTCCGCTTCGTATTTGTCAAATTTTGTTCGTTAAGATTCTTGAATCCTCAAAAGAATTTTGTGTTTCTTTATAAGCGAGAATGAAGCAAAAGGTCTAGTGCAGATCCACAGTTCGCGTAGATTTATCTTTAGGTCTGAATCCTTATTTTTCGCCGAATTTATGAGTGGTACAATGCTTTGGGAAATTGAAATCCAACAAATCTTTACGAAGAAGTGATCTTCCCGGTGAAATCGAAATCTACACCGGAAAGACATTTGGGTGCTGCGGTACATCGGAGTTAAGAGCACCATACGATGTCACACGTTTCTGGCGCAATTCATGTTTCACGCTTCACGAATGTCACATATACCGTATTCGCTAGCACAAAATTCATTGGTAGTGAAGGGAGCTCTGAGAATGACAAGAAATAAACCCTGATTGTATCAGATCACTCGACATAAATTGGATATAAAACTGTTTTGGAAGTAATAACGCAAATCATTGAAGTGTTCATAACATTGTCTAGAAAATCATTGAGGTGTTTATTGCAATGTCATGCAAATCGTAGTGGTGTTAATTACAATGTCACGCAAATCGTAGAGGTGTTTATTACAATGTCACGCAAATTGTTGAGGTGTTTATTACAATGTCATGCAAAATGAAACTGATTACGTCAGCATCAACTTACAGTTTTAAGCTAGAAATGTTCCGTGTTCATTTTGCTGCGGGCATTGAATCTTTCCCTGGAAAAAGGAAAACAAAAAATGGTAAATTACAGATGACAATAAGGTGAACCCTTCAAGTGGAACAAAAGCAAAGAATTCATCAGAGGTATTGGTGAGGTCGATCTCACGCCAAGTAAATACTTAAGGAAAAAACACATTTTAAGTTTGGAGTCAGGAGTTTCAGTTGTCAGTAATGCATTGGTAATTTGACAACCTGCGAAAGTCGTATTTTTAGGTCAGCGGCTCCATCTCCGTCTGAAAGTTGCTCGCCAAAATTGCGGGCTCGATTCGGTGACGCCCATTTTGTTTTCTTTCAAGGAGCACGGGAAATAGCAACATTTTATCTTTTGCCACTTCAAAAATGATTAGTTATCCACCGTGTACTAGCAGTTAGTTTTCTGATGGCTCAGGGGATAAAATGTCACCAAATAATTTCATTCTTGTCAAACGATACCATCCTTTATTTTTTATATTCATGAAAAGATCCCCGTCCGCCATTGAAACAGATATTAGAATTTGCTGGTGACCTATTTGTTATAATTACGAAAAATTATCCGTTCACCATGCGAATGATAAGGAACTGAAACTCACTGATGACTCGAAAAATTTCATTTTCAAGAAGTGTTTTCTGGCGGAGGTTAAAGGTGAAAATACTTGTAGCTCATGTTGTTTTCATGAAGTCGCGTTAAAACCAAGGAGTTCAACCCTTGGCTAACTTCTATCAGATTATAGAGATATATGGTTCAATTCATTTCGCAATTTTGTAAAATATGTATTATTGGTAAACCATTTGAACATAATGCATTACTTAAGGTACAAAACATGAGTTCCTGATCTTGTTCTTTGTCGTATCTGATGATTTATCAGTTCCTATTTTCAGTGTTTCGTTATTCACTTTTGATCATAGTCTTCATTTTCCATTAAATCATCGATACTCGATAGGAGGGGGGGAAGAGGAGGCAAGGGAGTTACTAGGTTGCATGTCATCCTCCTCCTCAGAAGTCATAATTGTCATACACTTTCATGTGCTCCTAAATTCCAATGACGTGTAGCCCCAAGATTTTGGAAAAGGGCTCATAAGTTTTGAAATATCTGTGTTATGTGTTATCAAGATAATAGACCATAGCAGTGAGAATATCATTTATGTAATTTGCTGCTAACAGAAGAGGTTATGTACTTTTGCCACAATGAACCCATGAGTTTCAAAATGCGGCCTGTTTGTGTATAGATATATTGTGTATCATTTAATGTCTTTTTTTCTGGCCATGCAAATCTCACCCATTAGAAAATGAAAAGAGTCAGTCATCACGCACAAATAACCTACCGTTGAAAGACAGAAGCTTCAAATACACTGTGATCGATCTTGTGATGAAAATCCAACCGTTCAAAAGCGATGGACTCTAAGTGCTGACGTTCCCTGTAAAACAAAGTAACTTGTTCCATTTTACCATGCTCAAATCCATCATAGGTAATTAAGTTAGACAAAAAAAAACGGAAATACATGAATTAAAATGGAACTTCTTCTGTGATCTTCCTCCTCGAGATCGAAGGAAATGTATGAATATAATTTATCCTTCCTTAATATTCTGTGTTCACTTTTCCCGCAAGAAAATTAAAGGCAAGTTTAGCTCGACAGTACGACTGTGGCAGGTAACTTTGAAGAGGTCGTATCAGCAGATAGCCATACAAAAATCAGATTAATTAACCAGCACTTGTGAGACACGATTCAAATGATGGCAGAAATTTCAATTTTGAACTGAAATGGCTTTTAAATATTTTACTTTGATCTCGCTATTTGTGATTTTCCTTCCGTTGATAGACAATACTTTTCAGTCTTTATCGACGATATCATAATTGTCTTTCGTCAGGTCATTACATTTAACAGAACGTGATCGAGATATGAACTCCTTTCGTAAAACACACCGACTCGCTAAAAAAAAAGATGTATGTATCTTATCTATAAAGGCAACAGCAGCAAATAAGTTGAATTGTGTCAGTTTTTTTGAAGCAGGAAGTACTTACCAAGATCTGCAGACCTCTGTGCCTTGCCTTAAATAAATCTACCCAGTACCTCTGGTCGTCTTTAGAGTTTTCCCATCATTCGCAAGGCACATGAAACAGCCAATAGCATCTGTCACTTTCGCAGTCACTCTCGTACCCAGGCCCACCATTTCCCCTGGCCGGCGGCTCAATTGCGCTTAACAAATGGAAACCCAAGACATCAATTTTTTTTGTTGGAATTTTTTGGTTCCTACATACAGTGTATTTGTTTACAGAGCCCGTATTGTGGCTCAAGGGCTTGGTGGTCCTGTATAACATGGACACCTGTGTAGTAATGAATCACGGGAATAAATGCGTGGTTACTAAGTTCCAGACAACAAGGAATCGTTTGCACTTATTTAATTCAGGAAATTGTTGCCGTTTTTCCTCAAGATTTATTTTCTTCTGCGCGAATTTTTAACACAATGACTCGTGAGTACTTTTTCCATGCTTTTCCGTATTGAAAACTTGGGGTTTAAAGTAAATCATTTGACGATTTTTGGATAAATATGTAACATGTCGACTTGAAGCTTTCCAAGCTTTAAAAAAGGGCTCTTTGTCGAGAAGCTGTAGTTAATTTTTTTCCTAATTATCTAGCTGATATTATTTAAGATTTACTGATCACATGCTTACTGATTAAGTTAAGTTCTCAAGCTAATAGGTAGTCAGTTTTCCCTCGTAATCTTTACATGGTTGTAATTTGTGCAAAATCGACATCAACAATGTCTTGCGATAGCCTCGCTGACTCAGTCGAACTATTTCATAATAACTTATCTAAGGAATCCGATCTTACAGTTTGTAGCTAAAATTCGGAAGCCTTTTTGTCAGTTCTAGGATATCTGAAAGAGCATGTAAAAGTGAATAGTTTAAATAATTAATCGATCAATGACTGTATTTGCGAAGTGATGGCAGCCAAAAATACTCGATCTACAGTTTCTGATTTTTTTTCCAATGATGGAAAGTTTATTGAATAAATAAAGCCATTTTTCTTTCATATTTTCTTATAAAAGCAGATTATAAAACTCCTTTATGAATTCCAGCAATGATGATATTTCTCATGTATGGTAAGGGTAGGAACACCAGTGCCTGTGTTTGGTTTTGAAACGTGTTGTATGTTCAGATCCAAGATCATGGCTAAACCCAGGGTAGTCGATCAATAACTGTGATGATCAATTTAGAATTTAGTTGACTGTGTTAAAATTGATAATAAGTGATAAAGCTGTTGATATTTCAGTTTTAAGCTACTTTCAATTCTATTTCATCTAATTTACTGATAACAAACTTAAAGGAAAATTTTTCTAAGGAAAACAAAATGTGCTTAAAACTGAGAGACATTTGCAGATACAGGAAAGGCAGTGGTCTAATAGTAAGTGTGTGAGACTTTCAAGTCAAGAGGTCCAGGTTCTACACCTGGCTGGGTCATTGTGTTGTTGAGCAAAACACTTTCTCTCACAGTGTCCATCTCCACCCAGGAGTATAAATGGGTGTCAGTAAAGGGATAAGGGGGGGAAGTAGTTAAACACCTAATTGCTTCATGCTGTGAAAACTGGGATAAGCTCTGGTTAGATGGGCCTCATGGCTTGAGTACAGACATTACCTACCAGTAATGTCAAGCTCTAGGTTGGGTTCCATTAAACATTGAAGGGGGAGTTGTGAGAAGGCCTTTTCTGGAATGTTCCAACATCTCTCCCAGCATGCACCTAGGGGTTGTTCAGTGGGTTGATCACTGGTTAACCCTTTGACTACCAGGAGTGATTAGAGTGTTGATTCTCCTTAAAATTTTTGACAAATGACAAGAATTAAGAAAATAATTACTAAGTAAGGGATATTGTTTGGATAGCATAGCAAATTCTTATCACTAGCCAAAAAGAAATGTATGGTCATCTGTTGGGAGAATCATCTTTTAGATCTTGGCAGTGAAACGGGTAGTCTCTAAAGGTGTGTGTGATTGTGGAAACATTTCTCTTGGATCTTCTTGGTCAGGTGGAAACCAGCGTGAATTGGCCCGTGCAAAAAACCTGAAGAAACAGCAGGAAATGGCAAAAAAGAAAGGAGGCGAAAGTGGTGAGGCTCTCAAAGCAAGAAAAGAAAGGTATGGAAATAGGAGTGATGCTTACATTTTTCAGTCTTTGCTAAAACTAACATCAATTTAGTTTTTTTTGGCTAGCTCTACAGTATAGCAGGCAATTAGTTATGATGCCAAGATGCAAATCAATGAGCAAAATGTCCTTGTGCATTATATCTTGAGCCATTGAATTAGATATTTTGTATTCCACCATTATTTAATTTTCTAGTAGTTCTAGCTTTTAGTTTTCAAAATACTTCCTACAGCCTTATCTGAGCATTGTATTGATGGCAAAAGGAGTTAGTGAAAAGGCAAAAAACAACACAAACTAAACCACTAATTAAAAGTGTTTTTTTGAGACCCAAAAAAATCTGATGATCTTAAAGTTTGTTTCTTTTAAAGTAAAGCCCCAAAAAACAAGAAAAGAAATCAAAGTGTGAAGAGTTCAGTGCAGCCATTTTATTGCACCTTTCTCTGTCTGTATTTCTGCCTTTTTCTATGGTGTATATGTGGTAAAACTAGTGTATTAAAATGGTAGTCAGTTCATAACTTGAACATTTACGCCTCTTGTTGCATGAGAGGGAGGTATGCTGTATTTCATTGCCTTCATAAGTTCATTTTCTGTTTGCTTTTGCTTTTAGGGATGCAGCTATGATGAGAGAAAAACAGAAAAAAGCAGAGGAAAAACAAGCTTCTGGTGCATCTGGAGGTGCAAAGAAATAAATTTTGTGTTCAAGAAATTTCTAGCTAATGAGAACTTTTCTACACTGCTTAAAAAGTCTTTGTTAGTACTCTCTTGAAACATAACTGGAACTCCTAAAATATGGATACTTGTGTCAAAGACAATAGCACAGAACTCATTAATTTTTGTGGCATTACTTATCACAGAAAAGTAACTTGTCAGTCAGGTGCTGTTAATATTTCTACTTCAATATTTCTGTAAACTTGTATGTTCTCTCTCCTTTTTATTGGTTAACTACTGGTTTTCACTTGTAAGAATGCAAGGTAAAATCAACCTGAGTTTTTAGAGATAATTTTGATGGCTATTGGTTCATTTTTTTTCCTAGGCACTAGTTGACTCTTTAACTCCCAAGATCTGATTATCAATTCTCCCCTCTAGTTGCTACACATTCCCTTGTAAATAAGTTACAAGAATTTTGGTATTAGATCAAGATAACAACTTCTACTTGATGAGTTTGAATATTCTCATGAGCTGTTTGCTGGATAATGTTTAGATATTACGGGGAGAAGTTACATGTTAATCACTTTTGGGAGTTAAGGGGTTAATCAAACAATTAGTATACTTGTTTATGTATGTCAGCCTGAATTTAGATGTGCACTGAATGATCATTCTCTAGTGAAAGCCACCTGCTAACCATCAAGGCCCAGTTGTTCAAAGGGTGGATAACACTATCCAACAGATAAATCACCATCCAGCAGATAACTGTCAAAAAAATGTAACATGCTATCCACTGGATAGCAATTTTTCCAGTGGATAGTGTTATTTATCCTCTGAACAACCAGGGCCAGAAGTGTTACAAGCTCAGAGTAGAGGCCATAATAGATTGCCTTCACATTGCAACTCTAATTTATTAATAATATATATTGTTTCCATATTGTCTGGGATGCAGATCACCAATTAACCCTTTTAACCCTAAGGGTGATCAGTATTTAATTTCTCCCAACAGTTTCACCCTAAATCAAACATTAAGTTTTAAGAAAATAGGAAATGATCCCAAATGCAAGAAGCTCTTGATTGTAAGACAAATTCTCCTTACAAGTACCCTGGAAATTGTATAGATAACAGTATAGACAACTTACATATTGATGTTAGGATGTAAAGGGTTAAGAGATTAATTCACGTCATAGACAATGCTACTTATTTTCCCTGGTCAGTAAGATTTTGATGCCTGCATTCAGGATTTCAGAGAGGGTAGGGCAGTAAGGTTCCAAATCACGTCCAAGTGTTTACTTTCAAAAAAAACCATTGTATGGAAAGTAAATGACATGTGATATGCAAGGAATATGTTTTATTCCTGAGTAACTTTTAGGAAGAGTCTCTTATTCCTTGAGAATGTTTACAAATGTAGCTACAAGAAATAACTATTTTTTTTTGTAAAGAATAAGAAAAATGGTAAATGTTTTAGTTTAATCATCAACAGAAAAGGTTTATGGCCTAGGGGTATTGGAAAAAATCAGATCTTTCTGTGTTACATTCCTGTGACAAATATGGAACAACGTTTTTTCCTCAGTGGCTACTAACTTACATGTGGTTGAAATATTTCAAGTTCTTTATTATTTCAGCCTGATAAAGAAGCTCTATTTTAGGATATACTTCTTTAGGTGTCCCTGCCTTAAAGCATATCTTGAAAAGTATAACTTCTATTCATCATCTAGATAATTATAGTTGTGTTTGGAACAACTTAATTTAGTATCACCAACTATCCCATGTTTAGTTCAAATATAAGAAATATGGCTTATCATGAAAATTTTGATTCATGGAAATTAAAACTTTGCGTACTTGTCAATGGGGAGTCATTACTTTATTGTACTTTTAGCATTTGTAGAAGGTGTATGGCACCACCCTCCGACATACTTTACTTAAATTTCTGAGAAATATTCTGATGTCCACTTCTTGAACAGAGGTCAGAGAGGTTCAAATGATAAATGTCCTACCACATATAATTTCACCTAACCTAATCCAGATGAAAAAAATTTGAAAAGACTTGAACACGGAATATTTTGAAAAACTAATTTATTTCTATCCAGCGCTTGCAAAATTCTCAGCAAATGAAACATGGGGGGCAAAACCTTCCCAAAACCACCCCCCCTTCCAGAATAAGAAGAGACTCGCATCTTGGTTCTCAGGACGACGTCTAAAAATGTGGGGGCAATGGGGACCCATGGGGACCATTAAAACCGTTTGCTGTAAACGTTATGGTTATGCCCGTGACATTGGTGACGCTTTCGTGACGGTAACGACTTACTCTCTTAAAATGTAAGTCAGGAAATGTTTGAGAGCTCCAAATGAAGAAGACATCTTTGAAAAATGAATACAAAGTCGATCAAGACTTCATCTTTGGTGCAATGACCAAAGTAGGTCGGAGGTCTATAAATGCCACGGAAAAAATTAGTCAGTGTCGCAAAAAGTCGTCTCGCCATAACTATAGTTCCAGTCCTCCTCGGTTGACTAGCAAAGGCCGGTGCCATATTGGAATACAGTGTGTGATGCCCTCAGTTCCTTGGAACCCGTTTGGGTTTTCAGCAAAGCCCCTTCGTTTTCCAAGACTTCGTGTTGGAAACAAGAGACAACCTATTGTGCCTTTAAAAGAATGGAAATTAGTGAGAGGGGATACGGTATGATACTTGATCATTTTAATATGTATGCGATCAAAAATCTCAATGCTAGTTGACGACTGAATACACATGGTATGATGAAAGATAATGTAGTCTTGTTCGCCGATAAGCTTCATTTAAGTTCAGTATTTCAACTAGATTAACTCCATCTCTAACGATGTAAATGATGGTCGAAGGAAATTTCACTATCTTGGATATGTAGCGCTTTTCACTTACTCTTCTGAAGGAACGAAAACAAGCGAATTTAATGTTAACCGTTTTAGTGTAGAGAAGACAATTTTATGAGGAGGGTAACACTTAAAATGGGGGGAGA